AGCCATGGGAAGAAAATGAGAAGTTTATATGAAAAATAAGACATTTCCTTTATTAACATCTGTAACATCACGGTTGTATCCTGGTATCATTTTCAGTATATTTGACGATGCATTATACACTTTCGTGTGGACATTGAATTGATTAATTGGCATTTATACTAAGACGACAAGAAACTGCATTGTTTCCTACAGAGACATAATAAAAGGGCACAAATGGTGTAGCAGCAAAAAAAGAGTGTACGTTTTTCTTTATACATTTAGGCTACAGTAGTACAACGTGTTTGCAGAGAAGGGATTCATTGCAGCTGGAATGAAGTTACAAATACATTTCTAACATTTGCTGTACGTCATACACAAAGTCATGGCTGAGTATTAGAGATTACAAAATGTGACATGGTTAGTAAGGGGTCTCTAGGCTACTAAGACACTGGAGGCGAGAACAGGGCTACCTTTACAGTACAATGTAGACTGTGCGGATACAAAGCACAGATGTTAAATACTCACACGATCAGGACATTTGAGTACAGTACTAATGTGTCCAAGCTGTATATTTGAAAGAGTTGTGCTGCAGAATAAGAACTTTAAAACAAGAAGATTCGATGCCACAACTCCTTTGGTGGAATGTTATCAACATATAAGGCATGTCTGCATGAATGGAGCTTTTCAGTCTGAGTCTTCCATCAGCAGAATTTCTTTTTTTTCCTTATTGTTGTTCCCCCGAACTGACTAATATATATAACATGTGCTTTGCAATCTCCAACACAAGTGCACTCTGCACTGAGGTTCAAGGTTTCCCAAATACTTTTGCCTGCTTGTTTACAAAATGCAATATTAGTATTAAGAAATGAAGGTTGGAAAATGTGTCTTTTTACACAAATAACAAATGCATCAGCATAAAAAAGTTGCAAGTGAGTTAGACAAACTTATAAGAATAGTTTGGAAATTTGGGAAATACACTTTTGTCATTCTCCAACATGTTAAGACATGTCAATAAAAAAAAATTGAAATCTTTTAGTGTATGATAAATATTTAGCTAAGCCAACAGCTTGTCAAGAGCTATTTGAAGGAAACAAAATCCCTAAGCGCTGTGATTTATTTGTCATATTTCACTTGTTAGTTCTGCGTAAAAACGAATTATAATTAACCGGGGGGTCATGAGAGGGACAATGTCTTGGCCATGAGTAGTGACTTCCTGGCATTTTTGCAAATAGCAAATGTAAAAACCTAGCAAACGGTTCTGAACATAACTGTGACTTTTCATTTTCTCATTTATGCAGGTTAAAAAATAGTGATTCACATTTTAACAAATACCTTTTAGCGCTGCACCGTGGATTTTGTGTCGATGCTATGTGTTTCCCACTGTGTTCAATCTTTATGCAAAGTTCAGCTAACTGACTGCTAGCCTCTGTTTCATTTTTACTGAAAACATTTAAACCCTTTCATTTAACTTTAAGTGTATTTCCCAAAATATGAAACCATTACTTAAAAAGCCCAGAATGGTCACCATTAGTTTTAGGCTACAAATGCTTTGGGAAACAATCTACTGTTCCACACAGTGTCTGGTCTGCACTCAGAGGTCCAGCTCATCTCTCCATCTTTTAAAAAGCGTTTCCTTTCAGATTACTAAGACACACTCAGAAATCCTCTGTAGGTTCCTCCACACCAGTATTATCACTACATATAATCTGCTGCTTATTGCTGCATGTAAATAAAAACATTATCTTTGAAGAGGTCTGAAATAACACAGAGAAAGTAACAACAATGCTCTAATACTTGGTCATTAATATGATATGATATAGAGGTAGTGATTGAAGCATTGATTGACAGTTATAACAAACAGTGAACAATGAATGTGAGCGTGGAAAAAAATAATCTCATCTCAGGAGAGAATAAATACAGAGCTTATCACACCGACCGCTGAAACAAAGTTCTTAAGCTTCAAGGCCATAACACAAATAATTCAGACTCTGGACTGCAATCTGTCTCCAGGTGACTGTTCAATAATCAGCAAGGTGGCGTGAATCCTCGGGGAGAGTGCGGACATGAATCACAGAGTTTAACAGCTACTCCTCCTCATGGAGCTAAGACATCGATAATAAGATTTACTCTGAATGAGTGTCACAAATGGATTTCAACTCTCTGACCAGCCACCGTGGGTCCTCGTCATGGCAGCAGAGCTCTGGCATTAGCTTGTCATGCTGACTAGCACGCTGCTCGAGACCTCATCCTTTCTGGACCAGACACAGCTCAACAAACTCAGTTCCCACCCAGCAGCCAAGCAGCCATGAGCGATCATGGAGTTAAACCAAGAGATTCAGTCAGAATATAAACAAGTCATGTTCCAAATGAATAATACTCTTTCCATCCTGGCTCGAGCATGTTACAACAACAGCCATGTTTTCCTTTCACAGCACTGGGAACGGCTATTTGCTTGGTTTCTGAGTGCCGCGGACAACGCTGCCCCACTGATTGTTTGAAATAAACATTATTATGTATATAGTCTCCCATTCGTGGCCTGTGTGAGCCGTCTCTGTTTAAATTCAATACATTTGGGTATCGGTTTGGATGCTGAGTGTGTTCATAGCAGGCCACCCAGAGCGACTCTTTATAAGGGTGGATTAAGGATGAACAAAAACAAAACAAAGACACATTCTGCAATATAGAATAACTCTTCAATCATCTTTACAGAATTATAATAGAAATATAAACCAAAGGCGTATAATACAATATGAAGAATAAGACAGTAAGAGGACTTAACATTAAATTGCAAATATAAACATCAGATATTTATTTGCACACTTGGTGTGGCATGAACAAAAGCTTATGGCTACCTGCATTCATTTCACGTTGTGTGAGTGTGTGAGCGTGTGTGTGTGTGTTTGTGTGTGTATTTGTGGGTGTGTGTGTGTGCCTTCTACAGCACAAAGAGAATGTGTTTCTGCATTTGCAGTGTTGTCTGTGTTCCTGGTATTATAAGTGTGAATGTTTGTGTGTGAAGTAGTGGACAGCCGCCAGGTCCTCATTATTGTCATTCTCCTCACTGCCTCAAAGCGAGGCAAAGGGAGGCAAAGCGGCTGCTTTCAATCGAGGTGCCGAGAAAAAGATGGAGACAAAAGGCCAAATTAAACAAATGCCGGAAAGCGGCTTGGAGAGCCAGCCCGTGGTCATACGCTTTGAATGAGAGAGAACGGCTGCAGGGATAACCCATCTGGGTCTTTCAGAGGGAGACCACACAGATACACTCCATCCCTGCATTCAGCTTCACTATAGGTCCTCGCACACTGGGGTGCCAGTTCATATGCACGTCCTGTGTTCTCCTGGTATGTCTGAGCGTATGTGTCCACCAATGATCTGTTTTTTAAATCGTCTGCACAAACATTAGCATTGATTTAACGTCCCCATGTGTAGTTTCCCTGTGAGCAAAATGTCACAACTTCCACTGCAGCATCAACACGTCTGACGCCTGCGTAGGTCCACTTCATCTCTATTCTTCTCGTTCGGTTTGATCGTTCCTGTTCCATCCTTCTACTCATGGGATGAGTTTAGTGACTCTGCACATCTGTGCATACATGTACATGTGGACTGATGGAAGCTTTTCCACAGAAGCAAGCAGGTGGTAAGATGTCTGGCTGCACATAGACAACACAAACACGCACATACTCTATGTAGCTCTACTGTGAATTGAAGCTGTGATGCTACACGTGTTGCTTGACTAGGGCGCTACTACGGGTTCTGATGTGCTTACGATGATATTTCCTTCAGTCTGAGATAGTGGATGTCCAAGTGTCTGTTTGCTCCATGGCAGTGATGCTGAGTGTGGATGATGAATCAGCAGGAGGATGCAGAGAGGAGGAGGTGAAAAGAAAGTGGATGGACAAGTCAAGTCCTCATGGCTTCACACCTGCAACAATAGATAATGAAGAGTAGACAGTTTTAGATTGAAATTGTTTTGACAACCATGGACATTTTGCAGAATATGAGTCTGGAGATAATGTGAGCATGTCAGCGTATACCTTTTTTTCCCTGATCAAATATACCCACACTGTTTGGAGTTCAGTGAACATACAGCTTCAATTTCTATGATGCAGTTCAACTTCCTTCACAGATTGCATTTTTCTAAAGTTTAACTAGTTCAACTCAGTGTGTTTTAGTAGTTGTTTTTTTCAGTGTGAACTGACCTGCAGCGGTGAGGGTTGAGCCTACGGCCTTTCCGGCTGCAGCTCTCAGCTTTAATGGTGCAGCGGCACTCACATGTCATCACATCCAGTGCCCACTTCCTCCCTTTGCACGGGCGACAACAAGGTGTCGGTGAGGGCGACGGTGAGGGAGCAGGAGAGGAAGAGAGGGTGGTGGGAGGTGGTGTTGTAGGAGGAGGAGGGGATGGGGGAGGAAGAGTCAGGGGGGGATGAGTCCTGGATGGAAGAGGGGTGTAAAAAGAGTGAGGGTGGGCAAAATGTATTTATTCACACTTTAAAGCACAGCAGAGGCTGATGGTTTTGCAGGTTTTTGGTTATTGAGTATTGGACAAATGAAAAATTGTGATGAATCATACAACACCGCTGCATAAACCACCATCTGGGACCAATACAGGCTCTAAAAGAAGTAGCTATTTTGCAATTCAAGGTCACTGGCATGGCTAAAAATGAGATGCACACTTGTTTGAACCTGCACAGTGTTTGTCTGAATCACACCCACATGATGCAGTGAGTGGGAGATGCATGACAAATGTGCGATATTGTTTCTTTAGCTGTCGACAAACTCTCTGCTCTTTCAGTCCGTCTGTCTCTGTGTCCGTTACCATGGCTATAGTCACTTGTCTGTACTGGCTATAGTCAGTTGCCTGTGAGGCCTTCAGTTTCTCTTCCAGACATTCTGTACTTTCTGTGAGTCTGAGAAAGTTGCCTGTGTCAGTTGGTCCATTAACTGGAGCTGGTTCTGCCCACGTCTTCCCGGGAGGCTGGCGGCCCTAATGAAGTTACTTAATGAGGCAGAGAGAGGCCATCTTTGTTCACATCCTGATGACCACGCCTGCCGCTGGCATGGACAGAGGAGGTGGCATTCGGGGGTAAATTACCCAGATTTCACCCTTGCCAGAGTCTGAATAAAGCATGTTTTCAGTGATGGATGGGTGCTGAGAGACATCACACCCATACCCAGCCACCTCTGGCCCCCAGGGGACGGAAATGACTGACAGCAAAGTGAAGGGGAAGCAGAAGAAAACAAAAGTCGTGGGGAAAAAGAGCACTAAACCATTTGTCCTTCAGTGGACTGAAACATTGGAATCATGGCACGTAGCTGCACCTCCCTCAGATCACAGTGTAACAGGTTAATAGTTTCAGGATGTTTTCACATTCCGTGAATGTTTCCAACCGACCTTCTGAACAGCCTGAGCTGAGAATTATTTACTATCAAGTTATGTTCTCACCTTTTTTTGTTCTTTTTTGTTTGTTAGCAGGATTACGCAACAAGTCCTGAACTGATCTGCACCTTACTTGGTGTATGGGCCACAGTATCTCACAGAGGTGACTCTTTGAAGTAAGCTTTGTGTGTGCATGTTTGTGTGTGTGTGTGTGTGTGTGTGTGTGTGTGTGTGTGTGTGTGTGTGTCCTTGACTGGTGCTGCTGTAAAACAAATTGTCCTTCAGTTATAATGTAGACCAGATAACCTAGTTTTGTTCCTAATCAAAACATTCTCACTGAGGCTGACAGTATTTGTTCTGAACTTAAGTCAAAAGTTAAACTCAAGGCTAAACAGTGATTTGTGTTCAACATACGCAGCTCTGATGTCTCCACTCATCTTCTGTCTGGACTTTCCTTTTTCCCTTTTCTTGTCTTTTCTTGTCGGCTTCAGATGTGGCCTGAGAAACACAAAATGTGGCACAAATAAAATCAAATGGAGATCATTTTCTATTTTTTAAACACCTACATTAAAAGTAGTATCCATGTATCTAGTAGTGTCACTAAGGTGAATATGTTGACTGATATGACCCTAACGTACTCGATCACTTCATTCAATGTAATGTAAGGTTTACATTACTTGATCAGACCAAGGTTATTATAGTTTTGAAATTTTCAATAGTTTTTATTTTTATGTAGTTTTTCAGTTTGCTCTTTTATTTCAGTTTAGTTTTAGTTAGTTCAACAAGTGATTTTGTAGTTTTAATTTAGTTTTTATTTGAGGAATCGACTAGTTTCAATTTAGTTTTTATTTAGTTTTAGTTTTAGAATTTCCCAGGTATTAAGAGAAAGCCTTGACTTGTAGAAGCTGAAACAGGATGAAACAATGTGTGACACCAAATATGGTTTATCAAGTCCTTTAATTTCATTCTTTAACCATCACCTGCAGGACAGGCAGGGGGGAAACAAAACGACAACGCAAAACAAAGCTGAGTTTATCTGCAATTCAGTTTAGTTTTAGTTAGTTTTGCATTGTTCATTGCAGTTTTTATTTAGTTTTAGTTTTTTTGTAATTGTCGTTTTTATTTTTATTTCAGTTAACTAAATTATTTTGTCATTGCTAGTTTTAGTTTTAGTCTTAGTTTTCTACTATAATAACCCTGGATCAGACATATTTTATTTTACTCATAATTAGTTTACAACTGTTAGACAACATGTACTGTTCGATATGTTTGCATAAAACCATTGTCACGATGAAGGTTTCTTAATTTGAATTTAGCTATACTTATTGCATCTTAAGTTAAAATGTAATTAAATAGTATAGATACAGATTCTTCAGTGGGTTTACTCTTCTGTAGTGTGACACACACAATCAGTTTTTGCTGTTTGTATTTATTTTTGTAACAGTTTCTTGGCCAGCTTTTTAATCTCAAAACCAATTGTTTTGAATGAAAAAAAATTAAAGAAATAAAGGGCATTAGTGCTGAAAGTCAGATTAGCCCTGTGGCAAACTTTTAAGTCTTGAAAAAACCATCATAAATCTCTTTTTCAAACTCAAACAACTCAGGGAAACAGTCAGGGTTTAGTGGATTTCAAGTCAAAATAAATAGAAGTAAATGTTTTTTTAATTTCTCATTTATCAAACTCTGTCGTAGCCGCTCAAGTTGAGTTTCTAACATTGTTTTGAGGTGAGTTTAATGTGCTTTACAATGAGTAACATTTAATGACATTTATCTGACAGCTTGAATAAAAAGTTAAAATACTGCTATACAATAAATTCATTACTTGAGAGAGTGGGAGTGGGAGAGAGAGTCAAACACTTCTGAGCTTTGTATTTTTGGTCCTTGTTCATTCTGTCTGTCCTTTATTCGTATTTGTCAGTTCATGTCCTCTTCATCCCGACAGTGGCCAGTGTCTTTACTAGGTTGACTCTGTTTTATAATTATAATTATAATTTAATATGTACTGGTGTCCTGAGAGCAAAGAGCATCTGCCCGCTGCTCAGGTTTAACATTTGCCAGTTTTCATTTCTCTATCTCACGCTTGTCGAATCCCATCGGCTGTAAACTGTATTGAACTTTAACAGTTTGTGTGGACAATGTTTACCAGCTTAGCCCTGACATTATCAACCAAGTCTGTTGCTGCTCCTGTTGTCTTTGTGGCTCTAATTTACTATCATGGATGCGTGACTCTGCTCCATCGGTCTGTGAGAGAGCACATGGCAGGGGAGATAAAATCATCGCTATGGTGACAACAGGATGAGAGCCGTCCCTGGGGATGCTGGGAGAGAGTCACACAGATGCTGCTTACTCGCCGATAGAACAAACACACAAATTTGCACATACCACACAGAAACAAATATTAGCACACATAATAACTCCATCAAACATTTATACTGCTACAAAAAGTAGTACCACATATACAGTATATAGAGATTCGACAGGATCACATACACATGAGCCCTGACTGACTTTAAAAAAGCAAAAATCTACACACGCATACATTGGAATCCTTTATTTATGTCCACATCCTAACAGGAAGCAGGGGGACATAAACATTAAAGATGCAATCATGTGATTGTGTGGTGGGACCTGCCTGTATGAGGCACACAAACAAACATCAGGGACTCAGTGTCCATTTCACAGTGTGCAGCTGTCAGTTCTGACTGACACTCAACAAAACAACTGGCTCCTCAACCAAAAGGCTTCATATTATTGGCTGTGTGAATTTATGAAACTAATTCCACAGATCTTTAACGTATCACAACTGTTTCTACGATGTTTTTAGTCCACTGTCTTTGCATTTGAAGCCCCACAAACAACTTGCATGAGACAGATAAATCATCCCACTGAAATATTTGTCACATCCAACATTTTTATTTGTCAATCTTATTACTATTCTGCATCATGGTGAGCCAGATCAGTGGCTTATTCTGTGTCTGGTTTGATTCCACCATTGTGTCATGTTTCCTGCTGTTGTCAATCATCTGATAAAGGCAGAAAAGATCATATTTGGTTTTACAGTTGCAACAAGCCACTGATTTATAAACTGTATTGATGATGAAAGAAACTACACAGTTGGCTGCAGAAGAGCATATTAAACTGAAATCAGAGACCTGGCTGTTCAGATGCATCAATCAGACAAGTGGTGTTTGCATATATTCTTATTGATTCCTCTATGTTTAACTGTTGATTCACTTAACATTATGTCATAAGCAAACACTGACATGTTTCATGGAGTGACAGAAAACAGAGCATGTGAATTTTGTAAGTTCTAGTATTTAAAAAAGTGAAATACTGGACAGACTGAGACATTTGAAGCAAGGGTAGCATTTCCAAAATGGTAAATTCAACCCACAAAATAAAATGACTGATCTATTAAGGCACGCTGGCCCTGGATAATAAATAACTAGTAGCTAATAAGTGCTACTTCAATTCAACACTGTTACGTCCGTTATAGTTACTTAAGTTTAATCAGGAAGTGCAGTTTATGGCTGAAATACTCCTCTGAATATCTCCTCCTCATTAGAAGCATCATCAGCAGAATCAAACTGGCATCATTAGTGCAGTGCTTGGACATTAGATGATGGACGCGGTTTGAAAACTGAAGATCTAACAAACCGCTGTATTAAAATACTATTTAAGACAAACATCAAGACAAAGATCAGAATTCAGAAAGACAGAGAGAATGAAAATGAGAGTTTGTTACCTAGTTGTTGGTGTTGGCTGGAATTCTTCTTTTAATCTACACAGATAAAACAGACAGTGTCAGAGCAGAGGTGCAGTGAGGTCATTGAACAGCAGGTGCATCATGAATCTCTATCTTTGTGCACAGACAATAAAAGTGTTTTCATTACCTGCACTCACACTGGCTGTGCTCGACAAAGGGCAACTCAATGAGCTCATGTTTCATGAAGGACATCCTCATCAGCTGCACACGGGTTAGAAAATGTCACATTAAACCACAGACACATCTCACTGTTTCACTTCTGGGGATTTAGTGTGTGAATTTGCATGGATACCTCCATGGTGAGCGTCTGTGTGAGCGAGGGCACACACTCCAGGGCCTCGTCGGTACAGCAGCCGCCACATCGCCTCACCGACACACAGGACGGGACAAAGAGGTGGTGGGTCTCCCCCGGCAACTCCCGCCAAACCTCCACCAGAGTGTCCCGAGGCTCACACCCGCTCCTTGAATACACCTCCAACCACCTTCGCACTGGTGGACCAATAAAGAAAAATAATGTGTGTTACGTGAACTCTTTCAGATCTATGAATGAAGATGGCTTCTTTGTAGGAGAAGGGGAAATACCTTCTCGACCCTCTCTGGATTTGGGCGAGTCTGCCGGCCGCCAGTGAGCAAGCTGCAGGGAGAAATAAAGATATTGAGAAAGTTAATGAGAAAAATCACTATTTAACTAAGTTTAACGTGTCAACATCAAGTTGACCTGTTAGTACTTTGGAGTCATGATGACTGGTTTAATTTCAGTTGAGCAAAACCTTGAAACATGTGTTTTAGAAATGAATCAGTCAAAAAGCAGATAAACTAGTTCGCTTACGACTTAGTTATGTCTCCAAAAGATGCAATAATTAAAGAAAAACAACTATTCTTTACAGATAATATTGTTATTATATATCCTCAATGTTTTTGATGCAGACACCCATGATTTACATCATGAATTTAATACCTATATTATCAAATCAACCTAAAAACCAAACTAGTCAAATTCAAGTAGTATCTTATTCAAACACAGCAACCTGCTGTTGGAAATTATTTAAAAAGAATAAAGCTTTTCTGTTCACAAACTCTACTATATAAATATATGTATGAAAAGGTCAACTGTACATGGTGGTAAGTGACAGGAAGAAAGTGACAACCTGAGCTTTGATACACATGCAGGAGGGTAGGAGCAGGTCCACAGTAACATAAGAGCTAAATTAAACATAACTGTCTTCAGGCTGTGTTATGAAATATTCACCACACAGTTGTGGTCCATTTTAACATGTATCTAAAAATGTTTCTGTTCACAACCAAAATCCAACAATATTCTCAATTGCATGAAAGTCTGAGGGGGGGAGCTTTTTGAGTAGCTTGTATCTGCTACCTTTGCTCTGGAGTCTATCACCTGATTATGGAGTTTGAAACACCTTCAGCAGCCCCACAGAGAACGATAGTATTCTATCTATCCAACATTTTGTTGAGCTTCTACACATATTTCTATTTCATCTCATGTTACCCAGATGCAGTTAACTCTATCCAGTTATGTGTGCACTGCTGCCTGGGTGAGAAAAGTCCTAGTGGTGGAAAGTACTTTTACTCATTACTGAAGTACTTAATTACATAAGTACAACCTTTAGGTGTTTGTCTTGTTCTGCTACTCAATTACATTCCAGTTATGTCCCTTTACTGCATTACATTTATCTTAGAGGTGCTTGTTACAGATTTTACATTCAAAAAACGTATATGTTCATAAAACATGATATATTTGCTTTGTGACTCCTCTTGACTCCTCTCTGAAGCCAAACAGCTCAAATTGACAAATATTTCACCAATAAAAGCAAAGATTTGATAAAAGTCCAAAAATGTCAAAGATTTGTGAAGCAGAAGAATCTTGTCTCCCCCGTTGGAATTAACTGGGCTTAATTTTCAAATCGTAAGTAAAGAAGCCAAAAATGTCAAATATTATGATACTGTGTACCAAGCTTCTGAATGCAGGACCATTACATCATTGTAACATGACTGAAAAAACACAAAAAGAGAAACTGCATTTTACAGCCCTCTGTTTCATTCTTCCTAACACACACACACACACACACAC